ACTTGGGTCTGGGGGAGGGCCACGTGGTGGTCCTCCGCACTTCGTAATTCAGTTTGGTGTCAGGTGCCATCTCACATGGATTCTTTTTTTTTTTTTTCTATTTTTACTTTATTTTACTTTTTCTTTCTTTGTTTTTACTTTTTAAAACTTTTTTAATTTTAAAGAGAATAAAAAGCCCCAATTAAAAAAAATACAGAATTTCAAAACAAGATGATAGGCAATTAACAGTGGTTGTTATATTGCATATTGTTATCTTCAAAGTAGTTGTTTAGATTACCAGATATAAGCATACAAAACTGATCAGACAGTTAAGCATTAACTGTTCCTTTCAATAAACCCATAGAAATTAATAGTACAATTATCTTAGCTGTATTCTGTATGTGTATACACACACACACACACACACACACACACACACACGTATTTATTCCCTTCCTTCTTTCTCTCTTTTCTCCTTTCCCCTATCCTAGTTGTTCTTTCCTTTTGAGCAGTTTCTTTCCCTTTTGCAGTATCTATTGTACCTTTTTTATTTTATTTACTCTTTCAGTTTCTTACACTGGGGAGACAATATGATGTTTACACATGTGGGTCTGATTTATTTCACTTATGTGTATGGTCTCTAGTTGCATCCATTTACCTATAAAAGCCTTAAGCTTATCTTTTTTTTTTTTTTTATAGCTGAGTAATACTCCATTGTATAAAAATACCACATCTTTTTTATCCATTCCTCAGTTGATGAACATTTGGGTTGTTTCCAAGATTTAGCTATGACAAATTGTGCTGCCATAAACATGGGTGCACATATATCACTGTGTTATGATGTTTTCAATTCTTCTGGAAAAATACGCAGAAGGGGAATAGCTGGATCGAATGGGGCCTCTAATCCTAGTTTTTTTAGGAATTGCCACACTGATCTCCACAGTGGTTGTACCAGTCTACATTCCCACCAGCAACCACCAACAGTGGCTGTATTTTCCCCACAGCCCTGCCAGCATTTGTTATTGGTTGATTTCTAAATGATACCCATTCTTTCTGGGCTGAGATGGAATTTCACTGTTATTTTAATTTGTATTTCTCAGATCACCAATGATGTTAACTTTTTTACATATTTATTTGCCATTTGTATTTCTTCATCTGAGAAGTGTGTATTCATCTCAGATGCCCATTTGTGGATTGGGTCTTTGAATCCTGGGGGCTTGATTTTTAAAAATTTTTTATATGTTCTAGATAGGAGTCTTTTGTCTGATGGACAGTTGGCTAAAATTTTTTCCCAATTCATGCTTCTGTTTTTTTTTACTCTGTTGATGATTTATTTTATGTGCAAAATCTTTTCAATAAATGAGATCCCAGTAGTTGATTCTTTGAAGTATTTCTTGTACAGTTTGGGTTTTGTTCATGAGCTCTCTGCCTACCCCTGTCTTCAAGATTTCTACCTACTTTCTCTTCCAGTAGATTTGGTGTTTGTGTTTTCATATTTAGATGCTTGATCCATTTGGACTTTAGTGTATGGTGATAGACACGGATCTAGTTTTAGTCTTCAGCATGTAGAGAGCCAGTTTTTCCAGCACCACTTATTAAAGAGGCTATCTTTCTTCCAGGGAACATGTTTGGCCCCTTTGTCAAAGATAAGGTGGCTGAGTGTGTTTGTAGCTGTGTCTGTATCTTCTAATGTGTTCCATTGATCCTCAGGTCTGTGGTTTTTTTTTTTTTTTTTTGCCAATGCCATGCTGAGCATGGTACTACCACTGCTTTATCACAGTAGCTTTGTAGTATAATTTTATCTATGTCTCCTTTTGATATGCTGAGCAATTCTTTCATTATGGTTGTCATTTCTTTTTTTTAACCTGAGAGATTATTTCTGATCTGATTTCTTGTATAGCCTGATGAAGTTGTTTCTTTACTTCAGTTGCTATCATCTCAGAAATTTCAGGTATGTGACTTTCAATTTGTTCTATGTCAAAGTCTCCTGGACTTGTTCTAGATGGGCTGGAGGTATGAGATTTTATTTTGCTACTTCATTTTGATATTTACTATTTCAAAAAAATTTTTAA